GGTTAGCTGCATTGTTGATTCGCGGTTGAACAGTTGCCTACTATGATAAAAAACCATCTTAACGTTGGTGATTACGAAAATGCTCTGAAAAACGCCTATTTGGATTTTGATGCGTATTTGCGCTCTAAGACTGCTTTGAATAGAATGAAAATTTTAGCGCAACAAGATGATTCAGCAAGCGGTAAGTTTACAAAATATATGAATGTAGTTGGCTTTTAACTTAATATATGTATTTAAAATATGATGATGTACGTTTTGGTTACGGTACAGACAAAATAAAAATTAACTAACAAAAATCAATTAATTCTATAATTCTTTTTTTAAATTATTAAAATCAGAAGAAATTATAATAAATATTTTCAACTCTTAACCTTAACCTCATTATTTAACAAAGGGATTCACACATATTTCCTATTAAATATTCTTTATATACTTAATACATTTTTCTATTTTAATAATAGACGATTACGGCGACGACACCAACGCTGACAATGTTGATGAAGATGACATATACAAAATGGTAGGTGCTCAATATAATTGTGAATTTTACTAATAATTTGTTTTGTGTAATCATATTTTATATGTAGTACATAAGATATTACACTAGAATAGAAATTATTTTCATTTAGTTTGTTTGCCTATTTGAAACTATATTAATTAATATTATGGTCTTCTATTTATTTTTGAAATACATTTATTCATTTAAGCAAAATTTAATCTTTATTGAGTGTGATGTTATTTTAAAAACACATGCATGAAGTTTATTAATTAACTACTCCGAATAAGATGATCAAATAAATAATTTTTAATTTTAACATAGTATAGCATTAAGGTCAATTAAGTAATGTATTTCATCAGTTTTTTTTATTAATACCTAGTATTGATTTTTTTGTTTTCACAGTACGGTTTTTATAGTGGTTGCACCGCAGTCGTGGCCTTATTAGTGGATAAGAAAAAACTTTATGTGGCTAACGTCGGGGATTCCAGATGTGTCGTTGCTATTCACGGTACTAAGGCCTTTGATATGTCAAAAGACCACAAGCCTAAAGACGAACCAGAGTTATCGAGAATTCGTGCAGCTGGAGCAAGAGTTACATTCAACGGACGGATCAATCGCGATCTTAATTTGTCCCGAGCTTTCGGTAAATTTTGATTGCACATTTCACTAAAAACAATAATTAAATCACTACATTATAGGTGATCACATGTATAAGCAGAACACTGCGCTTCCAATAACGCAACAAGTTATCATTGCTCTACCTGACATACAGACGAGAGTATTAAACGCATATGATGGCGATTTTATCGTGTTGGGATGTGATGGAATATGGGACTCGTTAAGTAGTCAGTCTACTGTGGACTTGATATCAAATCACATCAATAAACCCGGTATAAAACTATCGTCGGTTTGCGAAAAAGTAAGGAAAACATAATTTATTATAGAAGATTTTTTATTATGTATCGTATCGAATTATCGATACATATTACATAGTATAATATTACATATTAAAACAACCGACCGTTTGTTTCAGGTACTCAACAAATGTTTTTCCGCTGAATGCCGTACAAAAGGTGTCGATAACATGACTTGTATTATTGTAAAATTTAAACACGATAAAAAGCTGCAGTCCGACCAAAAGGACGATGATCCGATCGGTTGCAAAATTGAAGCTCTCAAATTACATTGAATTAACTATAATTATGCTTATTATCGATAGTTAATAAAACATTTAATATATGTTTATAATATAATATTTTTATTTTGAACCGAAACTCAAGTGAATTATAGAAAGATTTGCCATATTGTATTTTATATTTTTATTATTCAATATCACAATCACATAATTTTCATTATATACGTATTATTATTTATTGATAATGCAATCTTAAAATTATTTTTAATTCTTTGGGCCATCATTTAGATATTAGGTTAATACATACATATCAATTATGGGAAAATCAGGTTTTGGAAAGGTGTGGTATTTATTAGGGTATTTTTATTTTTGCTTCAATAAAGAAAAGTATAAAAATAAATTGGTTATTTATTCTGTACATATTCCTGTTTTGTTTCCGTAATTAATAATAAATTTATATGTTGAATTAAGATTCATTTTAAATTAATATTGTTTTTTATTATTAATTATTATTAAAATGTATGAGTGGTATATGGCAGCTATTATAAATGGTTTTAACACTTCCCGTTTAAAAATGGGAGTTGTATTTAATTTTAAAAAAAAAACCTTTGAAAATCATATTTTGAGTAATGCTCAATCGATCGGAAGTTGAGGTGTATTTCCGATTGAATTCATCTATCTATCAATAACAGATACAGGAAGCATACTGCACATTATAATGTTCATATACGCTGTACGCGTGTCCTTAGTTACCTAAGTTCCATCGTTTACTACGGATCGGTCGATTAATGTACGAACGAGTGTGTGGTAAGTAGCTCGGTCAACAGTGTTCGGGATTAACTCGTACTACTTATTGCGTACCAGAATTCATTTGATAAGTAAGTCGCATCCAGATCAAAAAGGTCAAATCAGGTCATAGGCCTACATCTACATGCATCTAGCATCCCATCATTCCCATCATACCTTTTTTAATATGTTTATTTCGTATGGCTGGGGGACATTCTGTTAATTTGTGCGACACTAAGAATGTTACCATGGCATCATGAGAGTTTTATGTGATGTATGTGCGTGTGTGTATACGTCGACCGGTGTTGACCGGTTACCGGAAATTAGTGATTATACAAACGTTGTCAGTATCGCGGTGGCGTGTGATCTAGTAGTAACATTAGGTATAGCCCATTGTATAATAATTGTATTGACAATAAAAATAATTAATTTGATTCTGTCAAATAAATAAAAATGTAAAATAATAATAATAATAATAATAATGTCAACTGTATTCAGTAGAAACAAGACATATACATGTACCGATGTATCTGCATGTAATGTAGATGTGTAGATACTTTTTGATTATTACGCCCTAAGAATCAATACTGAAATTTTGCATTCCGTTTATATTCTAATGTACTATATATATGTATACAAGCTATAGTACCTACATCTATAATTCCTATAATTCCGTGCTGCGAACTTCCTTATATAGGTTCATGTTCATAATTAATAATGTTCAGTTTTTGAAAGCTATTGTTTTCGTAAAATATAATAAATTAATCATAGATATAGTTCACCTAGTGGTGAGCCACTATAATTATATAATATGTTGTATAAATCTAAGCCAGTACTCGTCTTTTTTTTTTACATTGTATATTAGTACGATATTATAATAGTTGGTTTCGATTTCTACACGTTTTGTATTGAAAAGTCTTACAAGATTTCAATTAAGTTGCGAGACATAACTCATTTTTTTATAATTATTTAAAATCAAGAGCCCGTTAAAAATAATTAACATACACAAAATATGATTTATTACCGTTAGTATACAAATATAATAATAAAAAAGACTTGCTATTTGTAATTTTTATTAGATAAAATAAGCATGGTGGCACAAGAACCTATAACTTACCTTCATTTAGGTAACCATATAAATTATATCTTTTTAGACTTAATCAATAATAGAGATGTTCCGGACACCCAGCAATTACTCAATATCATATTTAGGACTAGTCAACTACTTGGTAACTAGTCAGGCCAAATTATCGATCGGCAAGTAATAAAATATTATCCCGGTACCTAGCTTAATACTATATTTTCAATTTTTTTGTCCAATTCATTTACTACGAGTACCCAACAAATGCTGACTATTCGAATATACAATGAATATTATTTATGCCTATTCATATAACAATAAAAATAAATAAAGTAATAATTTATATTAAAATTTTTGGTACATTTTGTAATTGGTCTGTTTAAAATCACATAGATAATTTCATTGTATACAAAATGCAATTCTATGATTTATAAAAATAAAACTTACATCGTGTATGTTTACAAAAAAATTGATTGATAATCATATTTTAATATCGTCAGTTACGTTTGGTCGATGTATATGTCACGTATGATGTATTATTAAGATATTATCTGTCTTTCTTTTTTTTTTAAATTTTTTCTTATATTTTTACGCAAAATATTTATTAGGTACCTACTCGTTTTGTAATAATATTATTGATTAGTCTATATGAGTAATCTTCTAATCAATAACGAATAATTAACGATTATAAAATCAAATTACATATTATTATTTAATAATATATCTTATAAGTTATAAACATGATTAGGTTAGGTGTGATTAGCCTTTGAAATGTCATCGCATTACAATGTTTTCTCTATCTGATATATGCATAACATACCTAACAAATTTATGTTCAACAGAATCATCCTTTTGTTTGTATTTATAGTATAAGAGTGTATAAAACTTAAAGAAATTTTAAAATTAAGAACATTAATTATGTTTTACATTGACTTTTTTACTAGGTATATTTAAATTTTAAAGTGTGATTTTTAAATAAAGTGTACATTATATGCACAGTGCACACCTATTATAATAATTAATTAACGTTTGATTTTTGCACGTGTTGTGGGAGTAAAGGTTGCGCCAAGTAATGTTAGTTTAACGTTAAAAGCGTGTAATTTTTTTCATCACATAAATCGAATAATTCATCCGAAAAAACGATTAGACATCTGACAATGGATTTGAATACGTCATTGATTTTACTTCAAATTTTTCAATTCATTTTTTTTTTAAATTTAAATTTTTATACTTTTGAAATGGTATTTGGTAATGTTTATGTCTTTAAATACAATTAAGATATTCCCACGAAAACACTTAACGGTGATTTTCTCAGTTTTGCGTATACACTTCAGTGTATGGGTATCACTCACGTCCTCTTTATACGTTTATTCAATTACACACAAGAGTTAAACTTTAAAGTAAACTTCATGAAAAATTAAAACCTGTTGTCAGAAATGTTTTCATTTCATTAATTTGATCGATACGATAGTCAATAAAATACAAGTAGATAGGAATATTTTGGTACCTATACAATAATGACCGTTCGCCATAAAATACATTATTTACTATAGTTTATTATACATTACATACTATTTTTTAGAAGCATAAACCGTACAACTGTACAAGCTAAAATGAACAAATATGCGCAATTGTACATACCTACTAGCTGACTGAACTTCTGAAGATATAAGACGATCGATCCAATCTTAATGAATTCGCTGCAAGATATACGCATGTATTATGTCATACCGTCTGTATCGATAAAAAAACGTGCGTAGAACATATTATTATATTTATAGGCATAATATTGTAATTTTTAGGTAAAAACTATTTCACTCGAAGAAAATGAAAAAAAAAAATTAATGAATATGCCTGACTGTGATTAGATCTCATTCTACGTTTAAAACAAAATATGCCGAGCCGCCGAGGCGATTACACGGCCATTTCCAATTTTTGTCGGACGCATATCGACAACCGTGTACCGATTGCGGACCTCGTTCCAAAATATTTTGTTACCATATCGGTTACCTAGCGTTACCTACCGGTACGTCCGACGTGGTGCGTACACCAAACAGCGACTGCGCACACCACCAGTGAGCGCCACAGTTAATCCAAAATCGGAGATCACGACGGTGACCGCCGAATTAATCCGTAGAGTTGAAATTTCAAATTTGATAATGTTATGCTTATGCTCAATGTTGCAAAAACACCGAGTGATTAGAAATGTTTATATTATGCATGATATTTTATGCTAAAGAACGCGTGACGTCATGATAACGTCAATACGAAATTTTACCTAATACGTGATGTAAATGTCAAAAATATAAACAGGTATTAAATAATAATATAGATATCGTTTGTCTTGACAATCTACATTTAATATTCTATGATTTCTATGATACGAATAAATAAATGTTAATTGTTATCATGTTATGATGACACAATAGTTAGGTGCATTAATGCGATACTTCGAAAATTTAATTATTTACGATTATTTTCACTTGCCTATCTATCAACTGCGATTCTTTGACTATGTTTTTGACTTTTGTAAATACTATAATAATAAGTGTAAAAAACGCGGCAAATTAAAATTTTTAAATACCATAATTTAATAGCCGTATTAATCAATTTCAAATTATCGACAATTATTCTGATTTTTATTATCATAATTAATATTTATTTTGTGAATACAGATACAAATGAGTAGTTACAGCCGTTACAAGTGATTTCCTGTAGGTTGTAGCCTGTAGCCTACAACTTGTACGAAATTATTTTTCTATCTATTAGCCATATTTAGTTATAATATCCGTTGACTGTGATACACCACACATACACGTGGAACAGGACTTAACTTTACTTATTGCCTATATATATTATTATTAAGTTATTCAATTGTGTGGTCTATATTAACTAATTAGGTAATGTATATTTAATATATATATCATATATACCTATATTACCTACCCTAATCGTGAATAAATAAAATTTAAAAACAATTCTGTGACTAATTTTTTTAAATGTATCGAGTATCGAATATCTAAATACTTAAAACGTATGTATCGAGTATCTAGTATTTCGATACTCCAAACCCAAGTATCTAGTATCAGGATACTGATTTTTAAGTATCTTACCTTTCCTGATTATAGCCTATGTTTTGTTTCTAAAAATATTTTATGATGTATCTACATTTTTAAGTATTATCGATTTATTTTTCTAATTTAGAAAAAACGGTAAGGAGAAGTAAAAATAAATTGATAATTGTGCATATTTTGTACTTGCTATTTGTAAAATTTTAAAGTTTCTGTATAAAAAATAAATGATTAATGAGGAACCTTAAAATTACCAGGCCCGTGCTGGAGGATACCGATCTACTGTTCTCAATAAGCAGGTGGCCCATAGGCCCATAGAATATAAAAAAGAGATTTTTTTTCTTTGCTCATTAATTGTTTGAAAAAACTCAAGTATTTTATTACAAAATTGAGACATGTGGTCCACTATGCTGTAGAACAGTAGCACAGTGGCCTAGTTCGGGCCTGATAAACTTTAAGCTATCTTTTGCCATTAAAATCGAAAATTTTATAAAATTTAACTAAAATATAATTTACAATATTTTGGTAATTTTGATCAATTTAATCAAATTTACTACTAGAAATGAACATCATCGATTTAAAACCAAATAGGAGTAGAGTATGGTAAATAAATAAAAATTATACAGTAGTAATCTTTTGATAAACACTGGTTTTTTATTGAGTAGACCACTGACCACTGTAATGACTGTGTTAAAAATTTAAATTGAATTCAATGATAATTCATACCATAATATGAAAAACAATTCTGACCAGATAGCCAACTTTTTTATAAATATATCCATGTCCATAGCTGTAGTCAGTTCAAGGGTGTACCGTTTACACTAAACTCTAGAGGGATCTTGACTCCAAGGTATAAACTTAACATTTTAAATAATCTTGAATAATATTACCACCATAAAAGTACCTAAAGATATTAAACAATTAGTTAATAATAAAAATTCTTTATTCATACTCCTGAAATATAATATATATTATATATTTTAAGAACTTATAAATAAAGCTCTAAATAAAAATGTTTGGAAAAACAGATCACTGTCTTATTTTTAACAATCAGTTTAAAAATATACATATAGTAAATATATTATGTATACTAATAACATACATACAATTACTTATAATAACATTTTGACCTATAGTTATTTCAGATTAAGACAAATTAAATAAAATGCAAATAATAGTTGTTTAGAAGATAAATCATAAATAATTATTTAACTTAAGTAAATTATCAGTAAGGCTCGGAAGTTGATGACATAAAAATGGCAAAAAATGCCCTAAAAATAGGAAAATTAAAAAATTAAAAATATTTATTTTATAAATTTATTAAAGCTTACAAATTATTTAAAAATAAAAATCATTAAGACAACAACAAATGTAATCGTTGAAATAAAATTGGATAGGTATAATAGTCAACAAGACTAGTGTGAAATCAGTAAAAATGACTAAAAATGTGAGAAAATGACCTAAAAATGTCAAAAAAATAACTTATAAAGTAATAAACACCAAAAAATGCAAAATAAAAATTAGTTATTCAAATTCATATGCTTATGAAACAGATTTGTGGCCAGAAGAGCATCGTCTAAAAAGTTCCAAAAAAAAAAATGCAAAATACATCAACTTCCGAGCCCTAATTATCAGTATCTCATTTTGAAAAATTTAAGGAACCTGTTGACTACATACAAATAACTCAAAATTCTTAGCAATTATACATTTAAAAACTTTAAAAACTCTTATTTAATGAAATTAATTACAATAATACTTAGATATAGATTTTTAAATATTTAAAAATTTAATTCTTCAGGGTATTCTCCAGTGATACATGCTGAGCAATGTCCAACTATAGCACTATTAGTTGGCATTTTTTCTGTTATTGCTTCTGTAAGTCCTTTCACAGATAAATAAGCAAGGGAATCAGCACCTATAGAATATTAATACATATTTTATCATAACGGTTTTAATTAATTATAAATATAGTAATAATATATATTACAACATTAGATACACTATTGTAGCATGATCTGTGAAAAGAACGATATAAGATTCTGTAAGTGCCAAATTTGAAAAAAAAATAATGTTATTAGCTACTTTATTACACATTCTACTAAACATTTTTAAGAAAATAAAAGTTGATTCATTACTAATTAAATTCAATAAAATATCGAATATTATTTTAAAATGTCTGTGGTTCTATTAAGATTGAAAATTATGGTTTAATAAATTTTCTTTAGAAGTCACAATAATCCAATATGTAGTGTTAAGATATGTATTAAAGTTTAAGAGAGCACAAAACCAACATGTGTTTTTTACATCTTACAAACTAAATAGAAAATTTAAGTTAAGTAGAACCAACTTTGTGATATTATTTTCAATACAAGAGTAAATTTTCTCATAATCAAATTTAAAAGTAAGATTATCAAGGGCACTTGATAAATTTTTATTGATATTTTAATTTAAAAATGAATTATATCTTACAAGTTATTAGTATAAAAACTATTATAATAATTATGAAAATGTTCATAACTAACATTAGAATTAAAATATTAATTAACATTTAGGTTTAATTATTTTAGGCCAATTCGTACTAATATTAAACCTATATTAACACAAAATTGAATTCTGCTGAACATAACTTACTATGTTATATGTTTTAAGACAAAGATAACACATCACACATTTAAGTTACTAGTTAGGTCCTCTTATTATATTTACCAATATGTTTAGCCAATTGTTTTAAAGTTAGTATATTAGCAATGAGTTCGGGGCTAGTTGGTATAATAATTCCCATATGGCAAGTATATCTAAATTCTAAGAGGAGGAGAAGCAACTCGTACATGGACTTCCTTGGCTCCAGCATCTCTCAGCAATTTTGTAATTGGCCCCATCGAAATCCCTTTTACAATGGAATCATCAATAAGAATTATTCTTTTGTCAGCTACAATTATCAACAATAGCACTATATTTTTTAGCAACACTTGACTTTCTTGATTGTGCATTAGGTTGAGTGGAAGTTTGGCCTACATAACAATTTTCATACAACACTTCTGCAAATGGAATATTGGACTGCAAATAAAAGTAAAATAAATAAATCAATGGTTCAATAAAATAAAATTTTAAATACTTACTTTCATTGAAAACCCATGAGCAGCAGCAGTTGCAGATTCTGGAACAGGGCCAACAATATCAGCATCGACCATACTTTCTCTGGCCAACACAATACCACTCCTAAATCGTACTGAATAGACCATTTGCCCTACAATACATAAGCATATACTTTTATTTTAAACAATTAACCAATAATTAAATCATTATTTATTTTTATAATGCATTGAAAATTAAAACAAATAAGAAAATTAATGAACTTATTTTATTTTTACCTTCAAAAATACTATCAGGTCTTCCAAAATTTATATATTCAAAAATACAAAATGCTTGAGGGCGCCTGTGAGGTGGACTCATTATAGATACACTATGAAATCCTTCTTTAGTAAATTCTACAATTTCACCAGGATAGATGTCTCTTACATACTCGGCTCCCATTGAGGGAAAACCACATGATTCAGATGATACAACCCAAACTCTTTCTGCTCAAAAAAATAGAAAAAGAATTAAAACTTTTTTTTTATGACAATTTATGATAAAGTTGAAATTTTAAAAATAATTACCTTTATTTGGTTCAGTTAAAGACATCAACTTTCCAATGCACAGAGGTCTATTACCATATGGATCACGTACCCCAAATATCCTATCTTTTACCATTATAGTAATTGAATAAGATAATTTTGAAAGTTCCATAAAATTTCTAATACGTGCTGGCCAATCAGGACCATCAATTTCAATATCAGGAGGATTCAAACATAAAGATTGTGCAATTATTTCACTATTTGAATAAGTCGAAAGACCAACTCCTCTAGTTAATATCTAATTATAAAATATATATATTTAAAATATTGAATGCCAATAATAATTCACAATCATTCAGTGTCAGGTACAATGAGCCAATTTTAAAATATAACAGTGGCATATGGTGAGCATGACGTATAAATTATGTATGAAAATCAACAAGTTAATGCATGCCAAAATTATGTAATATTTACTCTACGCCTTAATTTTTCCACATTAAATAATTTTCCACTATGAGAAACTGCTAGAGCACCATGAGCAGAGTGCACAACAAAAGGTTGACAGTTTACTTCAGAACCAATACTAATAGAATACTTTGTATGTCCAATTTCAAGATTGCCTACATAATAAATATAACTTTAAGTAATACATAATAATTGGTCAGTACATTTTAGAAATTGATAATAATTACCTTTGAGTTTTTTTACTACTTCATCATTGAAGATATCACTGATGTATTCATACACGTCCGTTCCGAGCTTTCCGAGCTCTCTCCGATCAAAAAAATATTGTCGTTGACCGATTTTCTGTCCGAGCTCGGACAAGTTTGGGCACGGAATGGTGCCGGATCGGCCATGTCTGAACAAGCATCCGATCGCATTTCATGTTTACGATATGCAACTGATATATTTTCATCATTTTCATTCCACTCATCAGAGGATCTATCTGTCATAATGGACAGCGAAAAATTAATTGAGCTCGTCAAACTTCATGTCGGGTTATATGACTTAAGTAGTCCAAATTACAGTGACATTACATGGAAAGAAAAGGTATGGAAAGACATTGCAGATGGATTGCATCAAACAGGTAAGATAATATATTTGAGTGTAGTTAATATTATATATATTTTAAGTTTTAAAGAAAAACAGTTTAAATTATTTAGTATAACTTAATTTTATTTAATAATTGAAATTTAATAATGTATAAATGTAATAATATAATAATTAATAATATAATTATTTTAACATAATATAAGTATCAATTTTTATACATAACAAAGAATTTAGATAAACATTAAACATTAAGTAAAGAAATATGTATATAATATTATAAGTATTTTATAAGTTGATAAGTATTAAACATTATTTTGCCATGGAATAGATTATAGAACCACACGGGAATTAAAAAATTGTTTGTATGTTTCTCTGATACCAAAAGCTTCTCGTGTTGCATTTCCACCTTGTACTGAAATATTTGTCAAATTTATAGGAGTTGAACGGTCCTCACTCGTTTGTTTATTGTCACGAACATAAGTTAACTTCCCGTCATATTTTTTTATAAAATTGTGAAGTACACATGTTGTTAATATAATTACATCAGCATTTTCTGGTTTAGCTTGCATTCGTCTATTATATATTTTAAACTTTTGTGATAATAGACCAAATGCATTTTCCACAACTCGTCTTGCTCGGCACAGACGATAGTTGTATACTCTTTTTTCGTTACAATCTAGCTGTTTTCCGGGATATGGTCTCAGTAAATACGTTTTTAATGGGAAGGCTTCATCGCCTAAAATAACGTACGGTACTTCATTTGTAGTTCCTGGCAACGCTTCTTTTGGTGGTACATTCAGTTTATTTTGATCAAGAGCTTTCCCTAATTTTGAATGAGCCATGATGCCTCCATCACTATTTTTACCAAAACTTCCCACATCTACAGCTATAAAATTATAATGAGCATCAACTAATGCTAATAAAACTATAGAAAATGTTTTTTTATAACAGAAATATTGTGATCTACTATTAGAAGGAGCTTGGATTGTAACATGTTTGCCATCGATAGCACCTAAACAATTGGGGAAGTTCCAGCAAGTCCAAAACTCTAATGCAATTTCTTTCCACTTTTGTTCAGTTGGAATAGGCATGACTTCTGACATAACAATTTCAATAATTGCATAACATACTTCTATAATGATTTGGTATACAGTAGAAAGACCTAAACGATAGCTGAACGAAATAGTTTTCATTGAATCTCCGGTTGCTAAGTATCTGTTATTAAAAAAATAATAAATATATATAATATAATATTAAAAACAATAGAGATAGTGTATGTATAATAATATATTATACTAATGCCATTTTAAAAGTTTTTTAGATTCTGAGTGGAGCGAATTTTTTTATTTATTATATAGTTTTTTATTTGTCATATCCCTGTCTGTCTATACCTTATGTCGATAAAAAAACAATCACTGGCTGAAAAACCTTAATATTTTATTTATTATTATATAATTGGGATATGATACCAGGTATATCTGGTAACTTTTGACCATTGTAAAATCAATACATTCATTGCTCAGCTCAGAATTTAAAATTCTCAAAAGTATTTATTAATGAACTCAAAAAATTAAAAAATATATTAGTACAATTTTTTTTATAGACATTTGAAGTTTAAATAAAAATACTATTTCACTTGCTTCTTTAAACACGAATACAAATTTTCTGATTTTGTTTAATTTTAGTTCCAACATGCAAAAATCGTTGGAATAATTTGAGAGACATGTATAGAAAAGCATTAAAACGGAATAAAACAACTTCAGGTCAAGCAACAAAAATTATTAAAAAATATAAATATGAAGACCAATTAAATTTTTTGAAAGGGTTTTTACAAGAAAGAGACACTATAACTAATGTATCGTGTAATATTAGTTCAAGTTCTGAAGACGAAGAAACTATACAAGGTACTCAAGTGAACATTGAAGACATACAAACGAATAAAGAAAAGCATGAACCGATTTGGAAAAGACCTAAAAGAACTAAAAATCACCAAGAAAAATATAGTGAAACAGAAACAGCATCATCAACCATAATGAAATACTTGTTAGAAAAAAAAGAAATGGAAGCTAAAACACAAAATGTTGTTCATCCAGTAGATTCATTTCTTTCAGCCATTGGTGCCACATTAAAAACATTAGACCCCTATAACTTAAATTTGGCAAAATCTAGAATTTTTAATATTGTACAAAACATTGAATTGAACCAAATCTTATATAAGCAAACTGCAGATACTATTTACAACAATGCACCAACTTCGTCAAGCGCAAAAAATCCATGCATAAGTACACATAACTTGTACAACAAACAATTTACATCGTTTTCAGTGGAATCTCCATACACAGGACATTCGAATTCGCTATCTCCCCAAATGCAAGGTGAAATACCATTACATACATTCACTTCAACTTCAAACTAGAATCAATATGAAAATTAATATTTTTTTTTTCTTTAATAATTTGTTCACGTAATATCTATAATTTTATATTTTATTTTTATTTCACAATGTGGTTTACCAAGGTCTAGGTATGGGTGAAATGATCATCGAGGGAAAAACCAAAATTGTTTACGACCAACCCGACATAGGTAATGTCTTGATAGTGAGGAAAGATAAGATAACTGCTTGAAATGGTGCCAAAAGTTAAAGGCAAAGCAGTCATATCTACTTGTTGTACTTAAAGCTTTACAATACTTAGGTAGGTTGTCCGAATTTCGGACATTTAACAATTGATTTCGGTAAAATCTAGAATATACAAAATACTTAGGTTAATAGTTCGGACTTTTAAAAATAAGATTTGGTAAATCTAAGGATAAACAACTAGCGCTGTTAAAGTCCGAAATTTTTTTGATTAACCTGCACAATTGCACGAATAAATAAATCATAAATGTAATAATTGTAATATTTAATAATAAATTTGTTCTAAATTCGAATATATTAAGTAGGTATTATAAATATTTATTATACTAGTTGGAAGTAGCTAATAAAGTGCCTAGTATACTTAAATAATAACTATTATTAATATGTATTATTAATATCACATAGGTACTTGGTAAACAATTTTGGACTTATAGCAACGCTACTTATTTATCTTAAGATTTACCAAATCTTGTTTGTGAAACTACAGAAATCATTCGGAGTTAAACTAAACTATTTTGAATATCTTAGGTTTTACCGAAATCGATCAGAAATTAATACTTTTACCGTAACAAATATATATATAAAACAAACAAAAAAAACAGAAAATAGAAAATATTATTAATATTTGAACATTAAATGCCTGTAAAAAAATGGTTCTTTGATTTTGAGTTGTAATAATAGGTAACTAGGAACAAGGAAACTGTTATTACATTTATAAGTCACAGACACGGGCGTATGTAATATGCGCCAAAAACAACCCCCCCCAAATATATGTCATTTGCGCCACATCTAAAAGTTTATTTTGGTAATTTGCGTCAAATAAATCTAAATAAAAGAGCATTATGTAATCTGTACCATTGAGTACCTACTAAAATTGTAATTTGCTTCATTCTTCATCTTATTAAAATTGTAATTAGCGCCACTAATATTAAAATTATAAATAAATGTATGTAAGTAAAACAAACTCCATGTACATTAAATAAGTAAATTTTCGTTTAGTAATAAAATATATAAAAATAAAATCAAAATCATTATAAAAATTATATTGGATACGCGTCGGTACGTAGTATTGTATATCCTATGCGATATCAATAAATTTATCTGCTGGTAAATTCTAACTGCAATTGAAGTAGAAAGTGTGGCGCAAGTTACATAATATTCTATTACATTTACCTACTGTCGTGGCGCAAAATACCAAAATTAATTTGTTTATGTGGTGCAAAATACTGTTATATTTTTATATTTTGTCGCAAATTACAAGTAAAAAAATTGGCGCAAAATACCATCTCCCACAGACACATAACAATTGAACATTTGATACATTTTTAACCACAAAATAGTTTAAAAATTTTCATGATTTTGTAGAACTTCGTACGATAGTAAATAAAACTCGTGACTTTATAATTATTTTAATATTATGAACTACTATTAAAATAAAATTTGTGGAATCTTGTTCGAAATCGATTTCGTACCTTGGGTCAATCTTAAGCATGCTTATGGATTATTAATATGTTATAAACAAATGAAAAACATTTGAAAATTTCAAATGCCTACTAAATGATACCAAAAAAATTAACATTAAATTTTTGAAATTCTTTTATGTTTAAAAAATGATAATTTCAGTAACAGTGGAGTGTTTCAAGTTTCTGCAATCATTTATTTTTGAAATAGGTAAAATAAAATAAAAATCGGTAATATTACACGTAAATGTCCAATTTCATCATAATTTTTAGCTGCTGCGGAAACTAAAAATAATGTCATTGAAATTACACTCGATTTCTTAAAGTTTTGTAAACAAAACGTATATGTATTAAATTTTCAAACCTCTGGCATGAGTATTAAACATTTTATTTATTTTAATTACAAAATAAATGTTGAAATTTTTCGCGATTTTACGCGTTACGAAATGTATGTTCGCACAAGCATGTCAAAGCATTACAATCGTCTGCTCAGAATCTAAATAGAGACTGAAAACCATTGTTTGTTTGACCGAACCTAACATCCAAACGTGAGATCGACATACATCTCGAGAGATTTTATAGAACCGCTGTGAGGGATAATTAATTATATAGGCACCCTTTAGTTTTCATATTTTAAAATTTAAACGACGCCATGTGCGCGTAGCCGAACGATTTGCCGGTGAACTCGTTGGATGGCGACGAAAACGCCGTACAGGAAACGTGTTCGCAACAAAAACGCGTAGTGATCAAACGACGCGACAGAAATCACGTACGCACGAATGACCGTCGAGATCGCCGCCGCCGCCAAACGATCGTTTCGTAAAATAACAGCAGCAGCAGCAGCAGCGGTGAGACGATAGTTGCATTTGTTACGTATTTAATTTTTTTTTCAAATCGACAACCACGACGGCGATCATAGTCGAACACTCGGCCAAGGGATTTTGGACCCGACATAACGCTCTGCAGTCTGCACTGCAAACGGTCGATCGGGGGAAAAAAAAATTGAGCACCGACCGCCGCACTGTTCGCGCTGTTAACTGCGGGTAAACAAGACGTATCAAAAAAAAAATAAATCATTCCACCGCGACTGATAAGAAACGATAAAAAAAAAAAAAAACACGCGCTTATCCGGCTTCCGCATTCGACACATACCTTACCTAATACCTTAGTATATTTTACTGCACGCACTTCTACGATCGCCTGTGCACCACCGATGTGACAGGAAGAGTGGTACCGGACAACACGACGTCGTTCACGTTATTCTTCATTCCACAAGGCTGATTAGTTGTTGATTTACTAAGGTAAGGATGATAAATCGTTTTCGACATTAAGCCGTCTATTTGTCTTGCCATTTATTTTCCATTCCCATCAACGGTCGAACGACCACATCAGAGTTTGCTCCGCGATCGGCCGCGTACAGTTGAACTAGTTACTTGGCCGATGCCTCGAGAAAGACATCAGCGTGTACCGTTAGTTTTGTTTCCGTTCTGTAAAGATGGGACAAAAGTCGGTCAGAGTAAAGGACTGTTAGGACCGATAATCTCGGACTGTGAAATCCACTGCAGTACGACATATTTTTTTCGACAATATTCTTGTATACAAGAGTATACTACTCATATTTGGTATGTGTTGAATAAAGTGTTGTTAGTTTTGTGCAACACACCTACAAAAGAATTGAAATCATCGGTGTTTTTTTTACCTATTTAAAATTTGGTGTAGATATAAAAAAGAAAAAAAATTATGACCTCTAATTTAAACAGTAACAAATTATTTGCATCATTTATTTTATAAATAACTCAATTGTTGGGCTTACTACTCAATGTTTTAAAAAAACAATGAAATTTATACACTACAAATGTACTTAATTATTCTTATTATTATTGTTCTTAATATGCATTTAAATGGGGATAGATTTCTACTCTTGCATGATTATCTATTAATGATAACGTATAGAAATTTGAATTACATGTCTTTTTTTATTATTCATATTAAATATAAGCAAAATATAAATGACCTTAGTGGTGTGTATAGGCTCTTTATTTTTTGTATTGGATTTATTTTAAAATAATTGTATATTTTTGTTAATTTAAAAACAAAATATGTGTTAATATGACATGAATTATCTTTGATTGTCATCATTATTTACGTTATTTATCTTTAAATATGTAAAATCACCTAAATTTAGAAATGTAACATACATTAATGGATTTGAGTATTATGAAAGAAATTTAGTTTATACCAAATTTTGAATATGAAAATCCCTAAAATATATGCAAAAGCATGAAATTCTGACCTAGGTTAAATATATTTATAAAAACATAATATTGATTTGATTAATCTACTTGAATAGGTTAAAAATAAAAACTTACATGAGCTATTAGATTTTATTTTTAGTACGTATTGGAAAGTATAGTAGCTCACTTATATATTGTAGTGTATTTAAACATTTAAATAGATACTAATGATGATTTTTTTTTTATTCAATGCTTATTATAGACTTAACAATGTCTCAATTCATGAAACATGTAATTAAGTGCAACATTTCACAAACCTATCTTCAATATCTTCCATTAAAGGTAAATTAATTTCAACGCTTTAATTTTGACTATTTATAATATAATTTTTTTTATAGAACATACAAGCTCGACGTTTAAATTTATTAGAATGTCATAGTAAAGATTTATTGAACAAACATGGAGTCTCGGTTCAAAAGTTTAAAATTGTGGAAAATGCAGATGAAACAAATAATTTACTGAAATCATTTGGTATGTAGTTCAGAACCAATATTATGTTTAAACAATATTTTGAATTGACAATAATATAATGTATTTTATAAACAATAAATTTAATATTTATTTTTTTTAAATAGAAATTTTATACTTTATACTACTTTAGATGTCGATGAATATGTATTAAAAGCTCAAGTATTAGCCGGAGGACGAGGAAAAGGTCATTTTAATAATGGATTCAAAGGCGGCGTTCATGTCACAAAAGAGTAAGCAATATATTAAATTTAATGATTCATTTATATGACTTAATTGTATTTAATATTTTGTTGATTAAAAAAAAATTTTTAATTTTTAAAATTTTAATCATAGCTCTTTTTATTTTTTAGGAGAACTAAGATTTATGATTTATTAAAGAACATGTTAGGATATAAGTTAATCACTAAGCAAACTCCTAAAGATGGAATATTGGTTACCAAAGTTATGGTTGCAGAGTCTGTTGATATTAAAAGGGAAACTTACTTCTGTATTCTAATGGATAGGTAAGTTAAACATTTTAATTAAATCTAACTTGTATACTTTTTCTTAGATATTTATGTGACTATCTCGAGTTGATTATTTACTGTTCTGTACTTTCTGCTTATAGAAGTCAAAACGGACCAGTACTAATTGCTTCTCCAGCTGGAGGAATGGACATTGAAGATGTTGCTGAAAATTCACCCGAATTAATAAAAAAAATTCCCATTGACATATTTGAAGGTGTTTCTGATAAGGTTGCATTGGATGTAGCCAAATTTTTGAATTTTAATGGACCATTGACATCTATAGTGAGTATTATACTACTTGTACTTCAATACTAAATATTTACTAATCATTTTATTTTTTCTCATAGGCAGCAAATGAAATAAAAAGGTTATGGGAATTCTTTTTGTCAGTTGATGCAGTTCAAATAGAAATTAATCCATTAGTTGAAACATTAGATAATAAAGTTGTATGTGTTGATGCTAAAATTCAATTTGATGATAATAGTCAGTTCAGACATAAAGAAATATTTGAGTTGGATGAAACAAGTGAATCAGACCCACGTGAAGTAATGGCTAATCAACATAACTTGAATTACATTGGTATGGATGGCAATATTGGATGTTTAGGTAAGATTTTTAATTTTCATCTACTATAATACAAATAAATAAAAAATATTTATTTATCTTATTGTAATAGTTAATGGAGCCGGTCTTGCAATGGCTACTATGGATATAATTAAATTGCGAGGTGGAGAACCAGCCAACTTTTTGGATGTTGGTGGAAATGTAAGTGAAAATCAAGTATATGAAGCATTCAAACTGTTAACATTAGGTAAATACTCTAAATTATTTATTTACTTTCTGAGATTTTTAATACTAATTAAAATAATTTTTGTAGATTCATCTGTTAAAGCAATTTTGGTTAATGTGTTTGGTGGAATTGTAAATTGTGCAACAATTGCAAAAGGCTTAATAAATGCTTCAAAAAAGTTGGACTTACAAGTACCATTAGTTGTAAGATTAGAAGGTAAGTTTTTAGTTTTATTTTTCTTTATAAATAAAATATCTTTAAACAACTTGGTGGATCATTCGTGCAGTACCTAAATAATTTATTGTTTTTAAGCTAGTTAGTTTGAATAGTATCCATGTAATTATTATTTACTAATTTCTAGACTAAATATCCATTTATGACTTAAGTATTTGAAATATTTGTTACTTAAAAACATATTTTCATTTTATTGTACTTTATTTCAAAAATGTGCATCAACCTTCTTTGATGTGTGTAGTTTTATCATGATAAAGATTTGATAAATGTTGTAATATACTAAAATCTTGATATAATTATACATATCGTGTAAATAGAATTTCATCTTGTTTTTAGAATATCATTAAAGTGAAAATACTGAAAATTACACTATTAAATGTTAGTCTATTTGTTGTCTTGAGACATATTCTTCAATCAATGATTTAATAAAATTAGTTAAAATGTTGTTAACCATTACATTAGTATTTTATATTTACAAGAAATTTTTAACGTCTCTTGTATAATTTATTTTATCATGTATTTTTTTTTCAGGTACAAATGTGTCTGCTGGCAAAAAACTTTTGGAAGAATCTGGATTACTCATTGAATTTGCTTCAGATCTCGATGAAGCAGCCAAAAAGGCTATTTCATCTCTAAAAAAATAAAATTTAAATTATTAAATATATTTTGTTAAATATTTTTTACCTGGATTTGTATACATTTTTAACTTTTTTTGTTGGTTTCAAAAATATATTTTATAATTTCAATAAATGATTAATTGTGAAATCAATTTTATTTTTTAAATTGTTTTATTAAAGATTTATTGATAAAATTGTTTTTTTATGTGTTAAATGTTAGTCTCATAGATGATAAATAATTAAAAAAGACAAAAGACTGTTACCATATGCTTTATTTTCTATTTCCTACTCAACTGAGAGGTTTAATTAAAAATCTGATTACACAGTAATATATTGTATGCTTAGTGTATGTTTAAGAAAACACAAAATTATTGAATAAAAAGAAGTCGGCAGATACTTAAAACCAAATCTGAAATATTTTATGTTAAGTTATAATGACATTTGTATTATCTTAGTATATAAAAAAAAAACACGAGTTTAACATTACATAAACACAAATTTAAGTTGATCAATTATTAAGTGATTACAAACTGATAATAATTTTCAAGTAGTACATAGTCGGTTATTAATCGTAATGACTGGTAAGTGTTTATCTTAGAAAAAATGTAAAAGTGAATTAACATTTATCAAAAAATAAATAATATTCAAGTTTTACAACTAACATTTCTTGGAATTAGTTTGTTGATTTTGTTGGTTGCATTTTAGTGTAACAGTAGCTAATGGCTACGCGCTATTTTATGTGGTCATCAATTATTATTATAATAACTTTTAAATCATATTCATAAAACGTATGCACTGTGCTTCTTGTTATTTTATTTATATAAGTACTTAGCTAAAATTAATTATCATAAATCTAGTTCAGTTTTAACACTATTGGAATATTTTTCAATAATATAGAATATCATTTAATGGTATTAAAATTTATTAAAATTTCAAAGCATCCTTACAAATCCAAATTTGAGTTGCATTTTATTTTTTAATAGTACCAAAACAATTCCCGTTACTCTCATGAACTTAGGTGCAACACAACGTTTATACCTCGGTGATAAACAGATTATCTTCAACAAACGAAACATAAATCGAACGCAACAACAACACCTCAACACTTCAATCTTACTACATTAATTAGTAGCACTAATTTTCTATCGAACACTTCCGTGTAGTGATAATGTCTACCGAAATACTTCCTAGTTCAAATTTCACAGTTGTTGGCTGTTTCATAGTTTATACATCTTCATTAATGCCGTGAACTGTGTAGCTTTAACCTGCTTGCTTTATTACAATTTATAATAATATTAGTGGAAAAATAAAATAATTTTTGATGGACAGAAGATAAAAAACCAACGACTGATAATAATTTTTTCACTATCATCGTCAAACTGGCCGTGGTCTGTGGAACAAATTCATTTCGTATAAATAGCGTTAACAAATTATTTGTAGGACAAAACGACTTGTCGGACAAGCAGTAACGTCAACGTGTAACAAGCAAGATAACGTTATCAGTGGTTTTGTATTCAAAACTTTTGAACTGTCTCGTTTGTTAGTATGTGTCATTCTCACTATAAAAGTCGTATCCTTATTCTTCCTTTGTGGACGGTGTGATGTCAGATGTATTATGAAAAATATGACTTCTAGTTCCACTTCTGCTTGATACTGCAACGTCAAATATTCATTTACAGTTGCTTGCTGCCGTGTATGTAGTACGAAATGGCCAGCGATCCTTCGTCACTAATAGTGATCAACGAAAAATTGGGCAACGATTTTGACGATTTAATAACTCGGTGCGAGAAATATAAACAAGTTCTCCTAAAAAGAAAAGATGATATTACAGAGAAGGTATGTCGGATTTGGGCGTATATGTGAAGTTTGTGACTATATTATGTCCTTGTTTAGATCAATTCTCAAGTGGTCGGGCCAAATGCAAATTTGGTTAAGACCCTGATTAAAGTACACGAAGAGCGGCTGTCAGTTGTTTCATTGAGAAAAGAAGTCGAAGAGCTAAAGTCAAAGTATGCTGGATTCAAAAAGGAGACCGAGAGTGTTAGAATTATATTTCAGAAGTTGATCGAAGATTTAAAATACAAATGTAATCGGATGATGTACTTTACGTGCCTCCAATGTATTGCTTCCAGAAGGTATGCATTTATTTGTTTGATTTGGAACACTGTAAAATAATGTGTAATTTTAATCAAACAATCCTTAGCAATAAAATGAGAAAAGATTTGATGAGTAAGCGTGATAGTGAAGCTGTTAAGTCTTACAAGATTTTGTGTGAACTTAGTTTTGCCATGAGCACTGCTCCGTGTAAACATTTGATCTCCTATATTACCAGAGTAATCAACTATTGGCATTGCATACTCGAAAAGTTTTATTTGGAGTAAGAATTATTTAACTATGTCCGAGAATAAAAAAGCTTTCTATAAAAATAGTTATTAATTATGGTTACTTTTTTTTTTATAGTGATTTTGAAATTACTTTAAAACAAATGAACTGGCCATTTACAATGAGGGAAATAACTGATAATGCAAAATTAAATAACTTCAAACAACAGTTTCAACGTTTGGCCAATATGTTGATAAAAGTTCAACTTCCGTATCCTTTTTTAATAACAACATAAATGTATACAGTTAAATGGTATAATATTTAAATATCCTTAGCTCGTATTATTAGTAAAAACGATCAAAGTGAATTCAATGAGCAGACGTCACAATTATTGGAACATTATTCTCATGTAACCTTGCCAATAATTATGTTATTAGTACCTTTTCGAAAAAGATTTTTTTACCATTTTACTGGTAAAAAACAGACCAACAAACCTGATAAGCCTGAATGGTTTCTATCTAGAGTGTTGAGCTGGATTAGAGATTATAGAACATTTGTTGTGGAATGGCTGGGTCCAGTCTACACAGAAAACGGAAAAAGACCAATTGATTCTCAAGTAGATAATATTAATTATAAAAATTTATTTATTGTAATATTAAAAAAATATTTTGCATTTTATTATTTCTTTGTAAGTAATAATTTTTATATTTGTTTTTACAGCATGATTTTATTATAGGGCTATTGCAGTTTGTTGTAGTTAAACTTGATTCAGATTTGTCACATTTTCAACTGGAAGATGTAGTATTTTCACATATTGTGGATGAAACATTAGCATTTGAACATGAACTGAGAAAAGTGTATAATTATCCAAACAATTTTCCAAGTGTTACAGAAGTTTTAACTCAAGCTCAAATATTTTTCAAATGGATAAATATGGAACGTAAATGTAAGAAATTTTATATTAAATGTTAATTATTAATACTATTAGATTTATTTTGATATTTTTAAGATGCTCATATCAAAATGGATGAAATTATACAAAATAATGAACAATGGAAGGTCTTAGTTTATGATAGTCAATATTGTATAACATTGTCTGCGGATAGTTTTCTAACTTTATTAAACACTATGACTGATCGATATAGTATACTTCGTCAACCAAGACATAAGTAAGCATATTTATAATTTTAAGATTAGAAACAATTAATAAATAATAAAACTACACATTTATAATATACTATATCCCTAAAGCAAACGTCTTCAAACTCGTTTATTAGAGAACAGTAAAAAAAATAAAGATAAGAGCTCTCAGCAAGCAAAAAGTATATAAACACGTACATTTTTTTATTTAAAAAAAATATAATTAATATTAAAATTAAAGAAAAAAATATTTATTTAATTGTTAATTTTTTTAAAAGAAAACATCTAGTTTTTGAGCTTAATTATTAATTGGAAGATTCAAATTATTATTTATATTATGAGTAGTGTAAGCTGAAAAACTAATATTTTTAAGTATATCATTTTTTTTTTCTTTGACAAATTTCTTCAACTGCTTTAGTTATACTTTCTTTTTTTTTTAATTACTATCGACAAACCCTTTTACTGTTTTTGTCAATATGTTTATGTAAAATACAAAAATTAGTTTTTCTAGAAACTTTATTAACATTATTTTGTTTTTTAAAGACAGAAATAAAAAAATATTTTAAAATGTTATTTTCTAGTCAATTTTTAAAAAGTTGTAAAATATTTTTTTATGTCTTTGAATATTAAATTTTTCAAGATACTGAAATAATTTCTTTGCATTTTGCAAATTAAACATAATTTTATTATATAAGAAGATAACCTAAAATATTCCAAAGCTTATTTTTATTAAAAATCAAACATTTTAAATCAATATTTTTTTTCTATCTTCTTCTGGATATCTTTAATGAGCAAATTAAAAAAAAAAAACACATGATATAAGTAATTGATAAATTTCAAATGTATTAAGTTTATTTAATGTTCTAGTTAAGGGAAAGTGGTAAAAATTTGTTTGTGGTCTGTAGTTTGTTGAGACCTCTGTTCAGTAAAATAAATTGCATTAAAAAATTATTTAATAATTTTTTTTTTTTTTTTTTTTTTTGTTCTAATAAATAAGAATTTTTTTTTTTTAAGACTTCAGTTTTTAAAATTACAAACTGATTTATTGGAAGAATTTAGACAAAACATAGTTGACGGTGAAGTTGAATCCAGTGAATATTTACCAGAGATGTTGTGTACATTACATTACATATCATACACTCTTTATAATTGGGGAACCAATATGGTTTGTGAATATAAAATTACTACTAATTACAACTTATTAAACGTTGAAAAAAAAAAGTTTTGAATATTAATTTAAGCATTTTCTTTGAATTTATAAGTGTTAAGGTGTATGGTTAGCATAGTGGTGAATGTTGACAGTTATTAGTTATCAGTATTGTTGATTTATTCCAACAATTTTGGGAAATATTAATATTTTCATAAAAGTTTTAAAAATAATGACTTTTACTAGTGTTGGTTGACATATGCATCAGATATTTGGCGAATGTTAGATATTTTTATAAAAATAAAAAAAAGCAAGTTTTTAACATGTTTTTATTTATTATTAACCAATTATTGATTGTATTTTTTGTATCAAAATAAACTTTTGTAATATTTTAAGTTAAACTAGGTTACCTTGTTATTTAGAATTTAATATATTCAACTTTTACGTAAAACATAACCAACATTTTTTACTTGAAAACTATA